CAAGGAGTTATGTCCTAGTTTGTGTGGGTATCAGAGAAACAAGATTGGGTAGACAAGCTTTGTGAATCTCAGAGAAAAAGATCCAGAAAAAAAATTCAATTGCATTTTACATCATGTGATTCTGCACAGAAATATTACCCACAATGAGGCAAATAAACCTCTACAAAATTTGCAGAAATGTTTCAAATTAAGTGCCATAATTGTCTGCGTTTGCTAAAAATCTTGAATCTTTTCTTTAAAACCAATATGTACTTGCAGTTATCTTAAACCTAGTGTTGATATTTACAGAATTGATATTTTTATTAACAAAATAAGAATATTACATGTGTTATCCAAAATGGATTGCTAACTTAGCAAGCGCTGTGAAATGTGAGAATGTGGTAATCCGTGTGTTTTAAGAAGGGAGAAGGAAATGCTTTTTCTAATGCTGGATAGAAAACCAATTTAAAGTTTTTCCAAGGTGAGATGAATTTATGACTGGAGTAATTATGAATATATGCCTTGTGTGGAAAAATATAGGAGTAATTCTTTAGTATTTTCATAGCATCACAATTGCAAGTTTTGTTCTAGTAGATATCACTTGACTATAAAACATAAGAAACCTAATAAACTTGTCAAATTAATGTGTATCTTAAGCAGAGGTTATAAAAACTGCCCGAAGATATTTCCGTGGGAAAAGTATGTAGAGGAATTTAAGGCACTGATCTGCTGTGACCCAGATGGTCATTGACATTGGCTCCACCTGGAGATGCTGGCTCTGTGCTGGCAGCCAGAGCAGGGGAGCAAGGTCTAATGCTGAGGGCTCAGCATGGGGGTGGAGTGCCACTTTCCTAGTCAAGCAGCCCCTTTGTTTTCCCAATATCCCCTCATTTGTCCCCATATAATTACTTCCATTCACTCTTTGGTTTGCATACCTAGCTATTTCTCAAGGCACATTTATGCCCTGAGAATTTTAGGGACAAGTAAATTAAAATGATAGATGGACATTTTATACCTTAAGAAAATATCACTAGACTGCAGAGGATTTTGAGACCACAGGGTAAAAATGTTACCAAATATTTAAAAACCCTACTGAATCAACTTGATACTCTGTCTCAAACCCCATATTATTTATCAAGCATATTTTGTATACAATTTGGATACTTCATATCTCAGCTCCAATCTAGCCCTCAGAGAAATTCAATGTCTGTAATGTAAATAAAATAATAAATACTTCAATAGCTATGGCCAAGATTAATACAAGATGAGCAGAATTAATTTAAATTATAAGACTGAGGCACTGAAAGAAATCAATTTATTACGACTTGGCACTGAAACGTCTTAAAAAAAGCTAACAATCAGAAGAAAAGGCACTCAGAAAAAACAAATCCAGTCACAGAAACATCTCCCTCAGGCTCCCTTTTCTACCTTCAGCCTTCGTTATTCTATAACTGCTTAAAACTCATTTATCCTATTAAATATTCAATGTTACGAGTGAAAAATGAAAGAAAGAAAAGTCCACAGAAATGTAGCACTTCTGGATCTATACATTTCCTATAAAAATAAATAAATAAAAATAAATAAAGACCCTTTGTCTAAAGAGAGGAAGTACATGTCGACAAGTTTATGATCGCTGACTTACAACATGCTCAGAACTTCCCGGTGACAATCAGGACTTCTTAAGGAAGCCGATACTTTTTATGATTAGAGATTCACAAATTCCTAAACACGCTACCACCGCGTGGTACCAGTTAGAATGGTGTCAGTACTTACCATTTGAAGAAGCAGCTTGCACCGTGCACGTCACTTTTAAGCCCCACATATTCCTTCTAACCTCGCCGCAAAGCAGACCTGAAGCAATGGTTAATTCACAGCTTCTAATCTCATGGGCTTGAAGCTGTCTCTTCCTAAGGAGGACTCCCCACCACACTCACTCTGGGCTATGTTGTACATTGTGTCTTCACTGTCTCACTCACCCCACACTCTACTCATGGAGCTTATCATTATCTTGCCCACAGGCAAAATACACATTGAATTCCGATGAGCGCGCCCACTGATTTCAGACGCTTGGAAAAGGTATCGGCTTTGTGATCCAAATGCTGTCCACTAAGGTCAGTATGACAGCAAGCATGGGCTGCTTTCCTCTCCAGAATGCAAACATACCAAAAACATCACGGTAACTCCTTGGGATGTATCTCCCTTAGGAGTTTATTTTGAGGATCGCTTTGCATAAAAATTGACAAAATCTAAATCAACTCTGCACACTGTTTTAGTATCTTCATTTAAAATAATTACATGACTCACATCTCCATTTAATACAAACTGCTCACTTTCTGTTATGTTTACTAATTTTGAGACTACTTGGGCATTTTGTCTAATTAGCTTCATGTGGAACAAAGAAATAACCTGATTATAGTACGTCGTTGACTATGAAAATGAGCTACCTTTCTGATTAAATAGTCTCACTTCCTGCCTCGACAGGTGTTCTCCATATTTTCAAACATTGCAGATCGGCGGCTTCTTGTACTTCCCACGCCATAACATCCAGACTCCATGCCCCTCTTGGTAACATTCCAAAAGTTATCAGTGATGTCTCTTCTATGTATATTTGAAAAATATGCAACCTTTAATAAAACAATCTATGGTGTGTACCTCAGAGTTAAGGAAGGAAAACCAAAATATTCTATAAATTTCAACCAAAATGTCCTGCTTCACTTAGCTGCCACAATTCTATACCAAGATTCCAAGTTCATAAAAGAATGGAACAATTTACAAAGCATAGCTTCAAGTAATCATAGTATCTTAGTACCATGCTAGTTATTCCATCCCCAAAGTGTTTTACAAGCTCCCAACCCTTTGCGGGGACAATATTTTAAGAATTTAGATTATTTCTGTACTTCTCACCTCCCGAGAATCTGATAGCTTGTATCAAAAACAGTACCAATGCAGGAACTTCCTGATCAGTCTCTCCTTCAAGTTTTAAGGAACTCAAATTATCAAGTCTTCTTTCTAAGAACTAACGAGAGGTTTTTGAAAACACATGAAACTCTTCTTATAATTCTCTCATTAAAATCAACTGATTCCCATCAATGCATTATATTAGGACCTAATCGAAATTACCATATCCAGAAGTCATTCTTCACCTTTCCAAAAATCCACCTTGAATATCCACAACCACGCACTCTTCTGTCTTTCCTCATGGTTCTCTTGCTGAGCGAGGTGCTCGCTCCTTCATTAAATAGCATTAAAAATAGGTTGCAGAGTCCCCAGCGGAACCTGGCTCTGACAGAGCTAATGCCACAGTTCTCAAGGCAACCACTCTCAACTGGGATCTAAGAGGGAAAGTCACTGGGAGACCAACAAATTGCAATGCTAATGGCACACACCAACCTGTCTCCTCTGTGCTGAATCTTAGGAAAGAAAAGTGTAGTGAAATTAAGTCACTGAGGAACTGAAAGTCACTTTCTGGAACTGTGTAAGTTTCTTTACATATGCCTTACCCAAACAAAGCACTCTGTTAAATAGGGCATTCATCAAGGGTAACTTAGTTATTTTACTTATCACATAACACGAAACAGTGAGTTAAGACAAGTATACACAGCAGTTTATACATCTTAAAAATTGTGTTTCAGCCAAATCATAATAGCATTGAAAAGCAGAAATTATAAGAGATCATTGCTTTGTATCTTTGTAATGCTAAGTATATTCCTCAAAGAATATCCCTAAACTCAATCTCCAAGAAATTAAAAAAAAATCTGCTAATCAATCCGATAAAAGTAAAATGAATATGATGATGGAAATAGACGTTTAAACAGAAATACATACCTTGACAACCCACATGGACTGAGAAGAGTGTAGAATCTCTCACATGGGCTCCACATTGGGAATGCAGTGTCAAGACACTACATTCCTTGACTCTGAACAAAACATAGCCAGACCTGTCTGCTACCATATGGCTGTCTTTCAGGAGAATGTCAGTAAGGACAATCTCACTAAGATATGGAAGCCCCAGAGTAACACACAGAGAAGGAGCATTTATTTTAAGGTGTGTGTCTCTCGAAGGGTTTCTGACTTTTACCAAAGGAAACCGGCTCCCTTTCATCTACATTTCAGTTCACTTACAACAATCATAGCAGTTCTGATCTTCAAAGTGGATGAAGAAGGTGTGGGAATCATTTAGATGTATTCTGCCATTGGAGCAAAATCTCTCGTACAGGTGCTTTTCAACTTTGGGGAATGTCACTGCAGCTTAGGGAGGCTGAGGTGTCATATCAATGGACTTAAAAAGTCAGACACGTACACCGAGCACCTACAATCTAGACAGCCACAGCCTCCACCAGGCTCGCGCTGCACTTCCCAGCTTCCCTTTCCTAGACCTTTCAACGCCTTCTTCTATTTGCCGTGTAGATGCGGATTCTGCTTCCCACTATATCTTTAGAAGGGGATGAAGTACCGCACAGGGGAGTGGCTGACAGCAGTCACAACTCTGGGTTCCATCGCTCAGCATCTCGTGAGTCAAGTCTTCTTCCCAGGAAACTTTCTAAACACCTGCCTCCTTCAGTTCTGCGGCTGCCTCTATAGTCTGAGACTGCCATGAAGCACAGCTCCGGCATGTGAGAACAACATGGCACATCTTGCCATTTTTATCCTCGCCTCCCCACCACCCACCTCTCAGGACCCAGGCCCCCAGTCCTGCCTGGACAGCAAACGCTGACTGTAGCTGTCTCGCAAACGAAGTCAGATCATTCCAAACTTTCTTCCCCGGAGCCCCCAAGGTCTGTCCGGCTGTCTGATGGAGAGCACAGCCCTTCCCATCCCCTTCCAGCGCTCCTCTCTGTCTCATTGGAATCCTCCCCTCCCTTCAGCGAACGCACAGACACGGTGCACACCTAACACAGCAGCTTCCACACACACAGACGAGGAGCACGCCGAAACAAAAGCACAGCTCCAGGGTAGAAAGAAAGGGCGGAAAAACACTCACGGAGGCGTGCAGCGTTCACGTCGGAAGCCCCGCGGCTTACCTCGGGGGACCGCGGCTCTGCCCCGGCGTCCTGACGCCTGGATGGGTGTGATGTCGCTCTGTGGCTTTGATTTCTATTACTGTTTCTCGGTGATCGATGTGGCTCGATTTTGGCTAGTTTGGCTTTGGGCTTGGCTTTTTTTTTTTTTCTTTTGGTTTCGATCGATTTATTTAACTGCCCGCTAAGACGCCCTCTGCGGAGCAGGCTGGGGTCTCCGCACCGCGGCGGCAGACAAGGCTGCGGCGCCCGAGCTGGCTGCGGCTGCCCGCCCCGCGGCCCCCGCGGCCCCCGCTGCCGGTGCCCGCTCGCAGGGCGCCGAGGCCAGCGCTCCGCCGCCCCGGCCCTGCCTCGCGTCCGCTCGTCCGTCGGTCCGGCCGCCTGTCCCTCTCGGTCCCGCCGGACCTCGCTCGCCTGCGCGCTACTCTGTCGCCCGCGGCCGGTCCGCGCGTCGATCTCTCGGTCCCACCAGCACGGTTAGGTCCCTGTTGCAGCCCCGTGCCCCTGGCCGGCTCCCCTCGGTCAGAGGGAGGCGTTGGGAGGGAGGCTGCCCGCGAGTGCGCCTCTCCCTCTCTCTCTCTCTCTCTCTGTTTGTGCGCGCGCGTGTGCCTGCCTGCCTGCTCTCGCTCTCTCTCTCTCGCTCTCTCTCTCTCTCTCTGCGTCCTGGTCCCCCTCTCAGCCTGACAGCTCCCACCTGTCCGCCGCGCAGCCCGCCCCACCCGCGCCGGCCAGCCTCTCAGCTTCGATCATCCCCTGGGCCCCGCGTCCGCTTCCTGACAGCCTCCGCCGTCGGCCCCGCCGCCCGTGCGCGCCCTCCCACGCGGCTGGCACTGCCCCCCGGGGGCGGCGCCCCGCCGCTCCCCGCAGCCCCGGGTGCGTCCGCTCCCCGCCCGTGCGTGTGGCACGTGGCGCCGCAGCCGCCGGGGCCGGCCGCCCGGAGTCCGCGACCCGCCGCGCCCGGGAGTCCGGGGCTTCGGCCACAGGGCGCGGCCGGAGCCGGCCCAGCCGCGGGCCGGGCGCTCGCGCTGCCACCCGTTTCCCCGGCCGCGTTGCGCCAGCCCCCGAGGCTGGAGACAAAGCGCACGGACCACGCGCGGCGGCGTGAGCGTCATTAATCACTGAGAAAGCTGGCACGGTGCCCCCTGCCCCACCACGCCGCCTCCCTGCGCCCCGCCGCCCCCCGAGCCCCAGCCCCCAGCCTACCGCTCCTGCCAGGCGCCCCCTCGGCTCCCGGGACACTTGGCGAAGCCCGGCTCGGAGCCCTTGGCGCGGCGCGCGCCGTGTCCAGGCCAACTCTGCCGAGACAAGCCCCCAAGAATAGCACCTCGCTCGTCCCGGATGAATCCGTAGCCTGTAGCATCGGCGCTCTCGGAGATCCTCGGCTTGGAGCGCGCTCCCAAGTCCGGGCGCACAGCGCCAAGCGCACGCCCGGTGGGCGGCTGCCCAGACCTCTGCCCACCGGAGCGCCGGTTTCCAATCACCCAGGTGTCGCAGAAACCCTGGCGGGGAAGGGAACTTGGGGCAGGCAGCAGAGCTGACACCCGAAGAAATAAAAGCGTGGATTCTCCCGGTTGTTCTGGACATGTACTATATTTATTGTCTGTAATTCTGATTTTTTTTTTTTCATTGTCTCGGGGCACACACTAAAAAAAAAAAAAAAAAAAAAAAAAAAAAAAAAAAAGCACCGTGGTGGAGGATTGTGAATAAATTTCCGGAATACCGCCCACTCCTCCTGAGTGACTGCTCAGCCGACTTTTCCAACATTATAGGTCATCAGCCAAGATACACTGCCCTAGCTTTCTGCCCCCAGCTGAGCGCAAGGCATTTGATTCTGGGCGTCTCTGCTAGGTTGTTATTAATGTGCAGCAAAATTATAGTTGTACACTCCTGCGTGCAATTGTCAAAAGCTCGTTCTGACGGTAGCCAGCGATTCAGCTAGATGCGTAGACACTGAATAACTCGGAGCTGGTGCGGTGACCGCCCCATCCCACAATAGATCGAAGAAGAGCAAATCAACTTTACCAGCTGCAGTTGGTGACCCCGCGAATAGGCAGCACACGGCTAGCAAAAACCTTGTCGGCAAATCGCCCGTGTCCTTCCAACTTATTGACACCCACCCCTAACGACAGAGAGAGTGACAGATTTCTGAGGAGAGGGGTCTGCCACATCGTTACAGATATGTCATCTCTGCAGACAGCTCTGGCTGTGTTCACGTGGGCTGGGATATTGATTCTCAATCTCAAACAAACGATATTAGCACTTCTAGAAAACCCTCTAAAAATAGAAGAAGGTTACACTGGCCCTTGATGAATAGATAATTATTTTCCAACTATAAGAAACCGTCTCCCTTGAGGTTCAGCTCTTGCTGGAATAGGAGGAAATGTGCTGTGTGAGGTTTCCAGCAGACCAAACTGAAAGAACTCAGGACTGTTGCCGTGGTCTGACGTCCATCATTGCCATTCCATCATGGACATAACGGTGTTGACGAGTGTTTCCAGTCGTAGAATTCCAGGGAAATCTATAAAAAGCGTTTCTAATGGCATTCCCTTTACTTCATCTCAAGCCATGTTCTGAAAAACCTACTTTGCTTTGGGGGGAATTATGCCACTTGGTGCTGTGTCATAAATTCAAAGCTGAGCCCACGTGGGAAGAGGGGTCATATATTTGATTTCTATTCTGGACAGGGTGCTACTTGAACCTCTTCTAAATGGATGGACCTATTAGCAGGATGGACCTATTAGCTTGCTGTTAACTCAAAAGCTACATCATATCAGGTTTGACTCTGAGAGTTCACGGCAATAATTCAAGTCAATCCTATGAACTGGGTTAGAAATGATAGCCCTTGAGTTGAGGGGAGGGGAGGAGCGCTCAGTACTTTCAGGATAATTCCAGAGACTCTGTAAGACAACAGAACAGAATCTTTTTGTGTCTTAACCCTGTAGATGGATTTGATGCCAAAAATTATTCAAATATCTTATGGTTTCTGAATTTGGTAAAAAAAAAAACTTTGCTTCAACCACATTTTCTTTTTACATCATATTTTGTCAGCACATTAGGAACTTGAGAAAGCTCAAGTTTATTTGAGGCCTTGTAGATAATTAACATTTCAGCTACCCAATTTAAAAATTTTGTGTCCCAATGTGGGCCCGAATCCTACTCTTGGGACTATTAGGCAGGCAGTGAGCAGTAAGTGAACCTTCTAGGCATTCATAAAGTGTTTGCATTCCCTGGAACAATTTGAAAGTTACCATTCTTTCAGTCCTTGGCATGTCAACTGCCCCTAAACAAATTAAAACTGTCTTTCTTCTTAAGCCTCTGGTGACAGATTCATAACGTCACTTGCAGTTGTGTCTAGGCAGCAAAGCCATTGTAACTTTAGGGATGGGAGGCGTGGTGGGGCGAGGAGGCGGTAATACTCTCCCTCTTGGTCTGGGGATTGCTGTGGTTCCTTCGGCATCACGTTAGAGAGGAAGGAGCGCACATGTAACCAGGTAACCCCAGCTTGGGGAGTTGAGCTCACTACACACGGGCAAACATCTAAGACTGTTGACAAGCTCTTCTAAAACACATACTCTCCACGGACAGTAAATTAGTGCCCTTTAATGAAGTTCCCAAATTGGATTTTCAGAATAAGGCAGATTACTAAAAGAGCCCAGCCACCTTTCATAAGCACCTTTCAGCTGAAGCGAGAAGTAGAATTTCCGTGCTGTTGAACTTCCATCATCCCTCAACAATTAGGCTGCAGGGAACTTCTCTTTAGGGCATACTCCCTCGCCACCACAAAGGCCCACAAATTCCCCGGAGAAACTTCTCATTTGCCCTGTTTCCAACAAAACAGTCTAGGTCTATTAAGCACCAATCTTGCTTTAAAGCTTTACAAATATGTACAGAAAGGCTGGGGGAAGAGAGGGGGAAAATCAGAGAGAAAAATGAAACCCACGATTACCGTTTCAACCAGAGAAGTTGAGAACCCCATTCTTATTTTGTGCTAAGCCAAAATAGCTCTAAAGCACATTTCAGAACATCAACAAAGAACGTTACATCACGTATGCATCTGAGCATGAAGAAATGTCACGATCAAAAACAAAGAGGACTTGGGAGACTAGAAACCAAATGTTCTGATGGCACCGGTCCCTTGACTGCAGCGATTTCTCCTCTGGTGTCGACTGCGCACAGTAAGCATCTGAGAAAAATGTTCTGCATGAACCCTTGGAGTGCTCACAGGCGGCCCGCAAATGAACACTGGCCTGCGTGTACACAGGCAATGTTTTGCTGGAAATACAAAGCTAGAAACCTCCTCAAAAATGAACGGGGTGTAGCATTTCCATGGAGCTGTATCTGAATCAGAGGAAGGGAAATAAAAAAAAAAAAAGCTACAGAGAGGGCTAAGAAATCTGTCACTGAAAGACTGGAACATGAAAAGACAAGAAGGGTGCTGATGCATGTCTTTCCGGCATCCCTTGGGGTAGATGTCCTTCACTCAACCCATCCTTAGTATGTGTTTTGCTGGTGTCCCCTGGCCCTCAGTGAGCTGTGTTCCTCTTCTGCCCGCATTGCACCCGGGGCCCCAGGGCCTTGGCATGGCCGAGCAGATGCAGCAGCGTTTCCTCCCACGGAGCAGGAGAGGAGGCAGAACGCCAGCCTCATCCCTCTCACTGGGTACAGGCCATCACTCCCCACCCAAGACCTGCTCACGGGGCTCCCGTTCTTCCACGGACCCTGCAAAAGGTGCTTGTGATTTTTTTTTTTTTTTTTTAAAACCAGCCTCAGAAATGAAGCAGAATTGTTAGGAGCACGTGTGGAGAAAGCAGAGGTAAACATTAGGTCCTGAGACACAAGGCCACAGCACACAACCCAACATTTGCCAGCCCACTGTCTGTGATCCTGTCTCTTCTGTTCTTGTATCACAGGACACGGTCCCCTCATGCTGGTGGACGAAGGTTTTACGGTTACTCAGAACTTGGAGTAATACAGTTGACTTCTCAACCATGAGATGACATTAGAAGGTCTATTAGCTGTGAGAATAAAATAGCTTTCATCAATCTGCAATGAGATATAGGACATTTACATTTTAAATTCTTCATACTTTTAAGTGTGTGTGTGTGCGCGTGTGTAGTTAAGAGACAAAACATCCCCACAATATTAATATTTCAAAAGAGTACTAGATCTTCTTGGAAATCCAATCAAGCATCTGAAAAAATAATACTACATGGAAGTACAAATTTTTCTCCAAAACTACTCTTTAAAGTAAATTTATTTTTCTCATCTCAAAATAAATGCATGCTTGCAAAAAAAATAGAGACTTATTGTAAAAAAAGAGAGAATCAAAATTCCAAAGAAACAAAATAAAAACCTCCCAGAATAACACCACCCAAACTGCCATCACTTTCATGCATAACTAATCTGTATTCATATATATCCATAAATATATAGCTATATTTTGCATGTATGGATTACTGGATTACAGAATCTGTGTTACTTTTAATCAGCTCCTCTACTTTTTAATCTACTCCCTAGTTCAGCATAAGTCATTGGGGAGTTCTTTCCTTGGCATTGACAATATCAACATAGTAACAACAGCATATAAGCCTATTAAAATGTGAGCGTATTATATATAAACAAAAGCTATTGGTAGAGCATACTGTCCAATTAGGGGATTTTTCCTGTAAGACAAATCATTAAAATTTGTATTTATCATTGAAAGAGTATCTGCATTTAGAGTTTTACACAATTCTTCATTTAAAGATGCCAAATTGGGGCCGGTGCTGTAGCGCAGTGGGTTAAAGCCCCAGCCT